CGCACACACACATTTAGAAAATAATAATGTAATAATATTAATAATAAACCTGTATGTGTGTGTGTTTGTCTTTTGACGCACGTGCCTTCGCCATTATGTACTCTGAAAAATGAATGGCTTTCCCGTGAAGATTTTAAAGTTGGTTTGACTGTCAACCAGCTTATTATCTCCAGTTATCAACGTCCAGAACTAACAGTGAGCCCAGACTCAGCTTTTATGAAGACAAGTCAGATTTCACGAGACTTTGCGAATCACGCATGTGCGTTCGTCATTAACGAAAGTCTACCGTGAAAATGGCCCCAGGCGAAATTTTCAGCTGCTTGGCCAGCAATTAAGGTCCCACTTTAATTGTAGAATTAGTTAACCTATCTTGTATCTCCCGAAAGCTTGTTTTTCTAATGGTTGAGTTTTCCCTATAGTAGAAGTAGAAACACATGTCTTGTTTTCGTTGGTACATTTTTTATGCACTTGTACTTCTGTAATGCCCAAGCAGAAATAATATTAATTCTTGTCGTTGTGTATTTGATTTGTTGTTTTGGCGTCTGTTGGGCCTGTGGTGTTGTTTTTTGTAATATCTTACATTATTTTCTGTGGCATTTTCTCTGTCTCGTCTCGTATTGGAACTGGGCGTATGGTTAAATTAATTCTAATTTTAACGCTTCTCTCTAATACTATCTCTTTTTTATTTTTATTTTCTATCTCTGTACTAAATGACCATTTGTGGCAATATGCTTCTCTTAAATCCAACCTACAAAAATCTAATATGTGCACGGTTTTGGAGATGCTTGCACAGTTTTGTTGGTCCCGTGGTTTTTAGGGAATATTTTTCTTACTTGGTATTTTCTTACAGCTTGGTATCGGCAGCTTCTGGAATTCGGTGTAGACTACAAGAAGGAGGGTATTGTACGGATCTGGCTGGCTAACAAACCCATAGTGGCCTTCTTTAAACCCCAATATGTGGAGGTACGGACGAACAGACTGTCGTCGTCACCCACAGACACGGTGACAGATAAGCCTGACGAAGTAGATTTTAGAACTAGGTTTACTTTGATTTATTTAGTTATAGAGACGTCTGTGAATATCACACACAGACAGACGGGCAGGTTTACAGCACAGGCTCCTGTGGAGAAGTCCGTATGTGAACCCTCTGGAATGGGTCAGCACCTAGCTCAGAGTAGTATAAGAACGTATAGGTCAGCACCGATCTTATACGATAAGGCTTCTCCCAACAGGGCTAATGCAACAGGGCAATTTCTCGAACCCGATGAAGTTGATGTCATGGAAACATGGTTTGCTGTTTGTGCTGATATGAACTGTACAACATTTGTAGGGCAATCTAGGGTGTGCAGTTCGAGCACCGTAGCCAACATGCCAGACATCTGACCAATTCTTTAATGCCTTGCAACTGTATGGAATAGAGTTCCCAAGAAGACCTTTTGAAACCTTACAAGTTTCATTTATTTCTAACAAGGTCTATGCTTAAACGAGTTTTAACTTTAATTAATCAGAACGGTGGCCACGCCAAATAATGGTTATATGATTTTTCCCCCCTAAAAGTGATTATTGTGCACAGTAGCACAATTTTCAGCTTTAATTCTTTGAGTGACCTTCTTTGTAGCCCAACAGGCTGAGGAGTATTGAATGTTCTTCAGAACTAATTCTTCTGTCTTATTCGTCTGTAAATCATGTTTCATGTTACATACACCGTTTTCATATAGTTTAATTTACATTTCTTTAGTCGGTTCTTTTGGCCAAAAGGCATGTATGTGAAGTTAATTCTGCCCTTGAGTATATAACTGCTAGAACGAGTCGGCAGGAAGACATTCTGCAATATTTACAAACACCATGCCCATGGACATTACGAACTACCAGGTTTCTTGATGGAGCCCATTTGTGGGACAACCTTCCTATAGTACATACATGTACATTGTATTTTCTCTCCACCCGGTGGCCTAACAAGAGATCTGGTATTCCACTTTAGAAATGACTTGAGATGCGTGTCTCTTCTCTTACTCAAATGCCAGAACTGAAACGTGCGTTGACAATAATGTGAGGAAGTGTATAATTTTAACGCCCAGTGCAACACTGTAAGGTAAGAGGAGGGACCTCCGAATTTAAAGTCCGTCTCCGACAGGACAGAGCCTTGGATGTGTGTAAAGTGCCTTTCCCAAGGACACAACACCGAGCCGGGCTGAGCCTCGAACCCTCAAAACCACAAACCCACGTTTACGAATCTGGTGGCCTAACCGATGTCACCTTTTTCAGTTTTGACAATCATGGTTCGACTCAAATTTTTTTGATATATATAGTGGTAGGGCGTTATATTTCCATAACAACAACTACAACAGCAGCAACTACAACTGATCGGAGTGGTTCGACTTTCTCCAGGCGCTCCTAAGCAGCACGAAGCACATTGACAAAGCATCGGAATATAACTTCATCCTGCCCTGGTTAGGCACTGGTCTTCTCACCAGGTGAGTCCTGTACTTTAGACTTTGTTCTTCTGTGTGTTTCATGCATGTTGAATACTACATTATTATGTGCAGTTATTGCAGTACTTGCTTGGGTGTTTTTTTTTTCTTTTGGCTATTTTAAAATGTGCATGTGCACGTGGTTTCGCATATAAACTTGTTATTTCTTGAGTACTGATTATATAAATTGATTAGACAAGTAAATAGTGGTTTGCGGGTGCTCAAGTGTGGTTTATTCTCTCTTTCTATCAAACATCTTTCGACTCGACCTCTCCTTCTTCTTTTCCCTATCTATGTGTTACTCTCTAGTAACACCTCTAATCTTCGGCACCCGTATGACCTGTTTGTGTTGCAAGTGCCTTAACTTTCTTACAAAAACTAAGCAAGGCAGGTATTTTGATACATAGGTAGAGGATGGCCACACGTATGGGTGATTCTATGCCACTGCTGCATGCAAAGGGTTCAGTGTTACTGGCCAATGACGTGTCCGTTGACCTTTGCTACAACTGTGTCATTAATCATTCTCCTCGGCTCATTAGATTGTCATCTTCGACCCCATTCTCTTTTTCTGAAAACCTTTCCGCCTCACCGCTGTGATGGCCATTTTGAAGTCGCCCCCGTTTTGTTCATTCATCAAGCCCCTCAAC